CACCCCAATGGAGCAGAAAAAGCAGAGCCCAGAGATAAACACCAGCCAGAAACTGAGTTGTACAGAGTTGTAAAGACAGGATGGGCACAGGTGCTTTCCCTCTCAACAGAGCTTAACAGAACAGGCAGCAAAGGACAGTAGCAGCCCCAGAGGTTCAGGAGAAGTGATGAAGCCACTCAGAGCCCACAGGTGCCCAAGGGAGGCACCCTGTTTCACACCACTCAGATCCTGCAGAATCATAGTCTCCTCCTCCTCTGCTGCAGTTATCCAACTGGTCACTTCATCAACAGCTTTCTTCAGCATGTCCCTGTCCAGGGCACTAAAGGAGGATTGGGGGAAAAGGGGCAGAGTGTAAGAAAAAGTTCTTTACAGATGGAGCTTTGTGCCTCGTTATGGGAATGCAAAAGCATTATTTCCCAACATTCACACAATTCTCCAGATTTTATCCTCTGATCTCAGTTTTCCTTCAGACCACAGCATGCTGGAATAGCATGGAAAAACAAGGCATTCAGAGCAGCAGGCTTTAGTATTTCTACAAAATGTGATCTAATTGAAGATGAACTGTCAACACAGGCAGTACTGAGGAGCCATCTCTCTTAATAGCACTCACCTGCTGACTTTCCAGCTACCTGCTAAGAGATGCTGGCTAAGGATCTTCTCCTGTACCTCATTCATGTATGGGATTCCATCTTTGAGGAACTTCAGGGGAAAAGAAAATGCCAGGCTGATTACTCTCCCCTGGACTTCCATGATTTTTTACAGATCTAAAACCTGTGTATACTTGGAAGATGCTAGTGTTCCTCACTCCCAGAATATCATCAAAAACACAAACTGTAGGTAATCTAAGATGCATTCTTACATACAGGAGGACATGTTTATGCATAGAGGAAAGAAAAGGATTTCTGTCAACTATAATCATTTTTTTCCTCTGCTTTTGCCTTTACTTCAATGAGATACTTCAAGTGTCAAGACACCATGATTGCTTCCTGTCCGAAGTTGCTAAATGGTGCTCTTCTGCGATGACATAGTCTGAATTTTATAGGAAATGTGGCAATATGCAAGATGCAGGTAAACTGAGACTTCCCCACCTTCATGTCTTGTAAAGACTCCCACTGGGGTCTCTTTAGCAACTTCTCAGTTCACCAGAGATAATTTTTTCTTTCTTGAGGTGGGGAAATCTGTCAGGCTGACAAAGATATAGTTACTGCTTCTGTGGCAGTTCAGAAAAACCAGCACTCACTCTCCCTGTTGGTATTGAGACACACGATGCATTCATACTTTTAACAAGATAATATTTACCCCAAAAACATAGCATTTAGGGATATTAATCCTAATTTCTCCTGTAATTTCACAGACTTCCTCTGTTCTAGATTTCTGGCACAGACATTACATACCTTATTATAGTCAAAGCCATAATGAGAAAGGAACTGAATGCTAGATGCAGAGAGGTTAAATTCGACGTCCGTAACTCCCAGTGTTGAGGGAAAGAGAAAAAAGTTGTATGAATGCACGACATACCTACAATGACAAGAAAAATCTTTCTAGAAGATAATTACAAGAAATAACTCATCACAAAAGAATTCTGCATAAAATCTCAACTGCACTGTCTTCATTATAACAGAAACCTGTTTTTTTACTTACTCGTTTGAATTTTCATTTGAGAATATTGCCAGCCCTGCAAAAGAGAGAAAGCTCAGCTGAAATGGCAACATTTAGCTGGATGCCTACAGATACTGTGAAAATTAAGAGATGGGGGGATCTCCTAATGAGAGTACATGTTTTGTGTTCACTAATGCCACAGTGCAAATCTTAACAGTAACTGCCAGGCCATTTCCTAGCTCCCTGAGAGCTTAACAGGGACAACCTTTTAGTGCTAAGTGGGAAAAGGACTCAAGTCTGATTAAATAGCAAATAGATTGAGCAATGGGGGAGAAGAGGTGAGCTGGTGACAAACGTCTCCAACTATGCAGACGCAGGTATGTGGGTCCAACTACACTACAAAAGCATGTGGAAGGGGCTAGGCACCACTGCGCACTGAAAAGTGGTTTTTACTATTTTTTTTCCTATTAATCCCTAAAAAGTACATTAAGATCTTACATAGTCTTAAGATTCTGAACAGCATTTTAAACCATTTCGGAGCTGGTTTCTCAACTGTCAGTAGCCCTCCACAACCACTACAGGCCCTTTCTTGTGTTATTATTTTAGGAATATCAGAAATAGGAGACTTCATTTTCCCCTGATAGCCCCCTTATTCATACAGTGTATCAAATCACACAGCCTCGAATAGCAGTTGCTGTCACCTACTTCTTGCTTGCACCCTGTTTCAAAAGCCCTGTATTTGTACCTACAATTTTTAAGCATTAAAACCTTTACACCAGAAAAAAGCATACAGCCCACCTGACTTTACATTATTTACAATATTTAAAAGTTGATAGTATTAAACATCGTCGAAGGGGGAGACAACATACGACACCTACCATAGCAAACAAATGTCTCTGTAACAAGTGAATTAAGACCAAAGCTACCTGCAAGGCCTGCCAGCTGGCAAAAGGACTGTTACCAGTAAGACCTCGGGAGATTATTTTCTGCACCAGAACAGCACTTACCAAGCTGAGTAACAGTGAAACGCTGAACACTCTGCCTGGCCTTCAGGTACCGCTCCGCAGGAGAATCAAAGAGGCTATGAACAAAACCAGAATAGGGGGAAGGAGTAGAAACAACAGGGTTTGCAGTGCACAGGTTGTTCTCAGAGCAAGTCTCCCTCACGCTTCCAAGTCCAACAGCTTTACCTGGGCTCGTTATTTTGCGAGAAAGTTGAATATAAACCAGTAAACTCCATATCAAGGGCTATTGAGGTGGAAAGAACACCCAAAAAAGTCAGAAATGTGACGCACGGATCGCCTCTCGTCACCATAACCTGCGTGTCAAACCCACCGACAGCCAGCTCAAAAGGCAACCGACTGCCGCAGAAGTGGGGTCTCACATTCCCTCGTCCGCGTAGGCAGGCGAGGAAAGGAAAACATCCCTCCGGGGGGGCTGGCCTCACGCTTTGGGGCGTGTGTGCCCGGTAACTAACACCCTGAGCCCCCCGACCCGCAGCCAGCACCGCACAGGCGGCTCGCTTCCCAACCTCTGCTGCCCGTTTTAAAACCCAGTCTCTCAGCGCTCGCCATTCTACTGCACACCAGCGCCATTTTCTGCTAAAATACACCTGGATGCCGGCGGCGCTACGGCCTCGCCCCTCACCGGGCAAGAAGCTCCTGGTGCCGCCGCCCCCCGACCCGCGCCTCACCCAGAAAAGTGGCGCGGCC